TCCCCCTCCGCCTCCAATTTGATTCACTGCGACTGCATCCGCGTTTTAAATATCGGTTTCATTGAGAATCAGTTCATTTAACTTATGTCTGTCATCACAGGGATTTAACGAGTCACAAATTAATCTGCATTTTCAAGGCACAGTCGAAAGCGGCCGTGAAATTCTGAAAATTTCACTTCCAGGGTTAATCAGAAGATGGAATCACATTGATGGTTTTCCTTCCCATCTAATTGCACGGTTGATGGAAAATAATGTAAACTAAATATGGTATTCCATCACATGCCGTGTCAGTGACTAATTGCAGAAAGATAGATTCCCTTTCCATCCATCCATCCATCTTCAACCGCTTATCCGGGGTCGGGTCGCGGGGGCAACAGCTCCAGCAGGGGACCCCAAACTTCCCTTTCCCGGGCCACATCTACCAGCTCTGACTGGGGGATCCCAAGGCGTTCCCAGGCCAGTGCAGAGATATTGAAGCAACAGCGGGTAAACTTTCGGCACTCTATATTTCAAACGCACGAGCAAAGTCTATTGAGTGGATGGAAATTGCCTGCAGTCATCTTGGTCATTTGTTGGAGTCCGCTTTACTTCGGAGGACGAGTGCATTCGATCTCAAGCAGCACCTCGTCGCCTTGATAGACCCCCAACACACAGTTTGTGGCTTCACGTTCCTGTTTGTTTAAGTCGATCCCGGATGATTAAGGCGAGTGGTGGCAGATATGTTGGGCTCGTACCTAATTTAAGCCCCTTTCCCACTGCTGCTTGTGGATCGTTGCTTGTATTTTCCTGTCAGTTGTCTCGGTGCTGGTTGAAACATACTTGACTATTTGGCGAAGGGTTCTAGAGAAAAGTTGAGGGACGGGGTTCTAGACCAGACCCCTCCATGAATGACCTCCGCCTGGCAGACGAGCTGAACCACTTCTACCGCAGATACAATAGTCAATGTCCTGACTCCATCCCCCACCGCTCCACCAACCTGCCCCCGACCCCCGCCCCTCCCTTCCCCTGGAAGCGGCGCGTGAAGCTGGGGAAACACGTCTCTGCGTTCTCTCCCCTCTGCTCTTCCTCCTGTACACCAACAGCTGCACCTCCAGCCACCAGTCCGTCAAGCTCCTGAAGTTCGCAGATGACACCACCCTCATCGGACTGATCTCTGACGTTCTGGTGTCGTGGTGCAGCCAGAACAACCCGGAGCTCAACGCTCTAAAGACAGTGGAGATGGTCGTGTATTTTAGGAATCTGCCGTCCCTCCGGGACCCTGAAGCGGGATAGAAAGATGGTGACCGACCCCTCTCGCCCCGGACAAAAACTGTTTGTGCCCGTTCCATCTGGCAGGAGGTTGAAGTCCATCAGGACCAAGACTTCACGCCACACAAACGGCAGTCGGGCTCATCAACAGAACCGTGTCCCCCACTGACTGACATCTGACATCCCGCCCGTCACTCCCTCCACAACACGCACATACACTTTTTAAACTCTTTATTTTCAATTTAAATACCTCTTGCACTATGTGATCTTGTCTGTCTTGTTGTCCCTTGTCTTACCGTTATGCACCAACCGCCAAGTCAAATTCCTTGTATGTCTGACATATTTTGGTAATAAATGTTCCTGATTCCTGACATGGGAGCTTTAACGGCTCAATGAGAGGAAGTCGAGGCTTACATGACATCCATGTGTGAACAACAACCCGCATGGGGATTAAATGCAACCCCTCTGGCAATGTCTTGTCTGATTTACTAGTTGTAAATACAACAGAATCCTCATGGACACTAAATTCTCATAACCTTGTCAGCAACGGAGCAGATCCCGTTGTGATTGCACGGGGAAATATAGTTTTTTAAGTTCAGTGACTCACGGATCCGTCTCGCATTACGCAGCTTTTAAAAAGCATCCCACCGTATCTGTATTCAGTTGTGGGACTGAGAGAAATACCAGTATTTATTCCAAAAGCTAGTTGTGCGTACAATGATTGAATGTTGTGTAAAGGCGACTGCATTTAGAGCAGACTTAATCGTTTTCCTATGTTTGTTTATCCACGAGTGATGTATCAACACGATGCATTTCATCACCTTTTTCATACGTTGTCTGGAACTATTTATGTCTCCTGTGATACCGTTTCATCTTTATATAAAACACTGGCTGCCTTTTGTGTCGGTGCTGCTTTGGGTTGCATCAGAAAAAAAGGGGGAAAAAAAGTGTTGTTGTTTTTTGGACTAAATAACAAAGCTGCATCCGTCGGAACGAGTCAAACAGAATCCATAAAAATGACCTTTGGATGCAGCTTTTTCACGAAGCAAAGGGATCCATTCGTCATAGCGACTCCCGCCGTAGCTCTCGCGGAGTAAACTTTAGAGTCGACACGCAGAGTTAACAGATTAATGCCGACACCAATCACACCAAGTCAATACCAAGTCCACGGAACCATTATCACATGATCAACCCAGAACTCGTATTCAAAGGGAGGTGTGCTTCAAACGCGTTATCAGGAGTCCAATTAGCCGTGACAACATTATTAAAACCTGCGAGATTAAAAACCAGCTCATCCCGGAGGGAAGAAGGAAGGCTGGACGAGGGGATCATCTTCTCGATCACTTCCGAGCTCATCTGAGGATCCTGCTCTCAAAAAGGAAAGAACTGAGCGCTGTGATTTTTTCATTTTAATTTTGGCTGATGGGGGAGCTGATTCATAAATACTGGGCTGTGGGATTCGCATCGACGCTGCAGTGAGTCTGTCATTGACCTCCGGTCTATTTTTAATGTTCTGCTGCTCACTAATTATATTATATTAATATTGAAAGCAGGTCGTTTAATGTGCAATAACTGTCACCCACGTAACGATGATGCAATTTCAACATTGTTGGGATTAATGTTTTTTTCCGCATTTATTTGATGTTGTTTAAGTTACGTCATTTATTCATAACCGAACTTAACTCATGTGTATGAGTATGTGTATGTGTTTCCCAGTAATGAGGTACGTTTTAAGTGATAAATTACACGATCATGGGAATCCAAACCACAATTCATTAAGACATTTAAATTAAGAATATCAACCCAATTAAGGTGCTTCTAGAAGAGAAAAATGTTGGTCTTCTTGTATATGTGTGGAAATATTATGTTAACTTTGATAATCTGCAGTTTTTCCACTGAGATCCAAACTCAAAGCCCAATATTAAATGAATATGCACCCTGCTGATTCATTCAAAACAGCTTGGTTTCTAGTTGTTAATACACAACATGTACCACCAAACACGAGGTGTGTGTCCTGAGGAACAAGCAAGCGCACTATAAATCGCACACGGCGCTGACCTACTTTGCTGAGCAGAATGGAAGACGTGCTCGTCACGAGAATAAGAATAGCCGATCTACCTTAAGGCCAACGAAGCACGGCAACTCGGTTCAGGTCTCTACGAGATTTATCCTTCTGACTCAACCTTTTGTGCACTCGATGCCTCTGTATTTAGACGTCTATTGACTAACTACATTTGGGGTTTCTAAATACCCTGTAATACCAGCCAGGCCTAAACATCTTACCAAATGGGAAATGCCTTTCATTTTTGGAAACTGGGATGGTCCACAGCCGTGTTCTTCTTCTTGTCCTTTATTTGACTTGAGATGGGCCATGTGCTCAATATCAATAGGATGAGTTGTAATGACTTTAGTGATCTTCTCAGTTTCTGATACTTTGCTTTGTGACAAAAGACTTTGCAACATCACCTCTTTGCACTTTGACCTAAAACAAGGCTTAGTCAGAAAGTTAACCTGGTTTCCAAAAATAAATGAGTAGGCTACTTGCTTCAAAGATGCTTCAAGGCGTAATTGTTCCTCATTGCATGTCCAATCCACTTCAGGCGCCGTTGTATTAGCCATACAAGTTAGCCTGCTATAAGCTGCCAGACAGACAATAATGATTTTAAAGGCCGTCCCTGACTACTGCTACTACTACTTTTTACTCCTCGCTCAAATAATTGGATCCACTTGATCTTCATTTCAACCCTCTCGCCGCTATTAAAGGCGGAGCTTGTGAACGTCGCCACCTGGGCACAGTTGGTATGCGGATCATGTGGAGTCTCCATCACCTGTTGGGTCTGTGAGGTGAAATCAATGCAGCCTCGTTACTTCACATGATTCATTGGGTGATTTCTTTGAATTTCACCATTGGTACTGAATCTGAAGGGTTTATATAACCGCTCCGAATCAATGGAGGACTCAGGGCAGCTGTGATGAAATCGTTGCACATATTCAATAAGGAATTATTCATCCTTACAAAAGATATGGAGTGTTACTCAAGGAAAACTCCTCTTTATCCAAGCTACGAGCAATATTTCAGGTTTGGCCAGTTTTAAAGTCACTGCATGTTGCTTAAACATTAACTTCCACCAGCTATTTTTCCCAGAAGACATTGCACACAGTTATTAAAAGTGACGTATTGTATCTAATAGTATCAACATGAAAAAGAGAAGCCTGGCTCCTCTCACGATCAATTGAGGAAATAAATGGCTAAATAATAGAAATCACTTTGAGTTGATAATATCATACATAACTTCTCCGTTTTTAGCTGTTGGAAGATTCATTTTTTTCTTCATTCTTAAGATCTGACATCTACTGCATCACTATTACTGTTATTGCCTTTTTTTCTAATTGCCCTGTCTAATCGTGACAGGGCCATTAGGGGGGGAAGCCACCTGGGGAAATATACCCCAGGAAATGTCAGTTAAACAACCTTTAGCTTTAAGGCCGCCTGATCAACTCCTGATATTTAAACATCGGTTTTGTTAACAAAGGAACCAACTACGTTTGTCATCCACTGCTGTCTTGGTCTTGGGGCTCTGGAACGTTGGGGAATCGTGAGTTAACCTTTTGATGTACAGCAATGGTTTCCACTACACAGGCCGAGGTCATTCTGTCACAAAGGTCGGAGGGAACTGAACTACCTCAAACATGGTTTTAAAGGAGAAATGCTGGCTTGTAATCGCTGCCTTTGTCCGGTACTCTTTTCCCAGGAGATAATAACGGGTGGCCCCATCTTTTCGACAAGTATTTTGGAATGCCCAGCTACAACGCGGGGACCAGGTCCAACGTCTGCTGTAAGTACTGGTATTCTCTATACGGCATCTACCCATGTTTCAACTGAAAATCATTTGAGCCGCCATCGCTTCGGCAGCGATATTAATGGCCTCGATAGTCTTGTTTCTCTTTGTCGTGCCCACTGCTGGTTTATAGATCTGTTTTCTTTGAAAGGAACCCGTGTGCGAGCGTGAAAGCAGCGCGGCTTTTACCACCGGCTGCTGTTGAGAAGCGGTGCACAACGGCACGCTGGTTGATGGTGAAAGATGATGTCATAATGGGTTTTCCTTTGTGGGGATGTGATGGGTGCAGCTTCAGGGTGAAGCGGGGTCATTCCCACATCGTGGAGGTTCAGATGAAGAGTATACGTAAATAAACTACCTTTATTAATGCTACTGATAAGCTTCAGACAATTTGAGTTTAACAAATATTTAGTTTGTCTTTCATCCCTTAAAAGTTAATTGACTGTTTAATTAAGGTGAATTAAGGCTTACTTTCTCGCCAATGTGTGGAGTTAAAGGCGGCGGATATGAGAATAAATAGGCATACGTGTGTTTGTGTGTGTATGCGTGAAATGTTACATTGGAGGCATGAAAATGTTATTTAAAAAGAAGTCAATAAAAGAGTTGGGTCTGTAAATTGTGCGGCCTCTCTTAATCATGTCTGTTGTTGTGCGGTAGTTTTTGTTGAGCACGAATGATTCCTCTTTGACAGCCGATGTTTCCTCATTTTAAAACCAAAGAATGCAAAGTCAGTCCCTCGATTTGCAATATTATAGGTATTCATCACACTCACTAAAAAGCCATTACAAAGACCCGTTCTACAGTCAGTCTTTTACGCATTTAATGTAGTTAATAATAAAATAAATAGCATCTTGACTTTCTGAACGGCTGGTTAATGTGTGATTTGTTGTGTCCTGCAGCTCCCTCATTGTTGACGCAGTTTTAGCTGTTTTAATGGAGTGCAAATTGGTTATTTTTGAGGCTAGGCTTAGCCGGAGCAAAGAGTTTGCAATATTGTGTTTTATTCAACCAAGGTCCATCCGTCAAAATGTATCTGAACCTTTCCGCTTGTTGGGACCCGCTCAGGTTACGCAGATCTTAAATATATTTATCTAGTAACAAGTATCAAAGGAAACACAGAGGTGAGATGAAATGATTTGCATATATCGCATTTGGAAATGCCTGATGAGATAATCGTATCTCCTCCATGGTAATGAAAGATAATCAAAGCTGGCTCGAATCAGGAATATTCAATATGCAGCATTGAGAAACCAAGTTTGATTTTCCGGGGTTGGCATGCAGCCAAACGGATGAAGTCTTTGGCAGCACGCGGCCGGTTGACTGAAGTGTCCTCTGATGTCTCATCCCCCCCCCCCCCCACCTCCGTCTCTCCAGTGCTGGGTGTGATTCCTGAGCTGTGCCAGTGCAGAGACCTGGAGCTGGACTGTGACGGCGCTCACCTTGTGGACATCCCGCTGGTGCCGATGAATGTCACCATGATGTGAGTCGACCTCGCATTCTTTCACGCGGTGTCTTACTGCTCAATCCGTCCCGAGATTCACCTGTAAATGCGACGTACCAGCCGGAAGTCGCGTCTACAGATGGATCTCGGGTGATGGCGACCGAGGCAGCGGCCCGATGACTAATGTATGTCTCATGAGGGCCAGCTGCACACGCTCTGGAGCGTGGTCCTTCAAAAGTTTATACTTCAAGATTCCACTGACGTTTTTTTTTATTTTCAACACATAGACAAGGACGTGCGACTCTGTGGTTAATTAGCAGGCAGGTTGGCCCGTCCGTATCGTCTCTTACAAGGCGTCTGCTTTGTCGTTGGCACTGAATCTATTTTGCGCTCCTCGCTGTCCCCGCAGCCGGTTTCTCCCGTTGAGTTCAGCGCGCAGCTGGCCCAAAGCGACGGACGTTTGGCGTCCACGTGTTGTTTTCGAACGAAGGAGCGCGGGGTTCACGCTCCCACCAGCGGCTGCTAATCTGTGTGTTTATTTGTTTCCAAAGCAACAGCGTCTCCCTCGTCCCAACGGACGCGTCCACCAGCGAATGCACCACTTTGGGTCCAGTGGCCGTTACATTGTGTGCAGGCGTGACCCCCTTGACCTTTTTGACATTTTTATTATGTATATATATATATATATTTTAGTGGTAGTGAATGGGTGAACGCTGAGTATTGTTGTAAAGTGGAGTGATCACTGAGGCTAAAGCACCGTTTAAAGATAAGAGGAAAAAAGCATAAAATGTATTATATTCTATTGAATAAAATAGAGAACAGAAAGTATTTTTTTGTTTAGTTATGCTCCCAGACAGTTAAATATCTGCAGAAACGCTTCGGCCTACAGGCCCAGTTTGTTATCAGAGATATTCAGTTATTCAGTTGTTTTATGCAAATTAGTTATTTTGAATCAGAAGTTTGCCCCTGTTGTCTTTCATTAGTTGGACTCATTGAGTGTAAAATGTCTCTGTGGTATTTCTCCTAAAATAAGCTAGAGAATCAGCTTATTTTAGGAGAAATACCACATATCACTCACGACGGCGGTTGTGCGCATAAATGCAGCGACTACCTGTTTTCATTCACGATTCATTTGTAGATTTTGTTTTTTCAGAAAACGTTTTTTTCCAATAAATATTCCCAAGCCTATTAATAAAAAGCTTGAAATCTAAAAGAACCTCTTGATGTAAAAGCATGTTACGGGTGAAGGACTTTAAAAAGGCCTCTGAGGTTATTCAGCAGGAAAGCACATTGTTTGTTTACAAGGCCTCCTGTGGGGAGTAACGCCACCGAAATGCACCACCGTCGTCCGTCAAGAAATCCAACGTGAGGGAACGCTGAGCCCGAGGAGAAGACTTCATCTTAGGCTGTTCCTCTTCCAGGTGTTGGAACGGGTTGAGCCCTCAGTCAGCCTCTAATCCGTTAAAAGCTCTCCGATCAACAGATAAACCGACTGGTTCATCAGTCACATTAAGATGATCAAATGGATTAAGAACACCTAGAGGACATATTTATAGACTTAAAAATAAAACACAGGACAATTTATTAATTCAGTTATTTTTCATTTCTTTGCTGTGTGGTTTCAAGCTGTGAATTGATTTATATCTGGCTAACTATTTAACCGTTTTATTCAAAGAGGCTTATGGAGACATATTATGCTCACTTTCTATTTGCGGCTAGAAAATGTTTACATGCTTTAATGTAAAAAAGAAAGTAAACATAGAAAATTAGAATAACAACCCGTCTTTGTGTCTTTTTGAAGCTGTTAAGAGTAGAGATATTCTTAGTAGTGAATAGTGATCCACCAGACTCAAAAGCCCCTTTAATTAGACACTTCAACCATCCAAACAGACATGTGTGAGTTATAACCTTGAAAATCAGAAGGACTGGGGCCGATCAGCTGTTCACATTTAACTAAAGCATGTTTAAAACCTTAATAAACCTCATTATATTCAAGGTTTAAACCTTATTATGTATCCTAAACTTGAGCCTATTTCCACCCTTCAGGTCACTGCAAAGGAACCATCTTCAGAAACTGAAAGCAAACACATTCTTCAAGTACCAGAGCCTACAAAAACTGTGAGTGCACTGATTGCATATATATATATACACATATATGTGTATATATATATATATATATACACATATATGTATATATATATATATATATATATATATATATATATATACACTCCATGATTCTTGTTCTGTATATAGTCTGACATATAATGAACAGCATAAAGCCTTCTTTAGAGGAGCCGAGATGATGGCCGAGTGACAGCAAACGAGTTCCACTACTTCAAAGCGTATAAAGCCAGTGAGGCCGGTGGGAGCCGTGACCGAAGCGATCTCTCTCTCTCCTCCTCCTCCTCCTCCTCCTCCTCCTCCAACTCGCGCCGTTTATCAAACCGCGCACACAGTGGCGCCCGCTGTGGCCGCAGGAAAATAAGCCCGCTCCCCCGCCGGGAAGCATCGGCGTCCCTCCGGCTTGTCGGGCATTCCGTCGCTGCTCAGAATATTTCAGCAGATTAAATAACTCTACCGGATATATGCAAGCACACAAATACACAAATAGCAGCTGCGAGGGAAGCTCCTGGCGTGCGCTTTGAGCAAGTCGCTGTGGCGACCGCGACCGTCCGATATCAGATAGGAATTCATCTCTCAATTAGGATTCAATTATCTCTTTGTGTTAAATACATTTCTCACTCAAAATGACCTTTTCTAAGCTCTGTGTGGGTGTGTCTTTACTTAAACCAACAGGTTCAATGGTTATTTAATGCCCTTTTTCTTCCTTTTCATTTGGAATTCAGAGGACTCACAAACTGTTGTGTGCTTTTTGTTGATCTAGATATCTTCAGTACAACAGAATTCGGGACGTGAGTCCTGACGCATTCCGAGGGCTCTTTAACCTAACGAGACTGTAAGTGCGCTCTTTTGTCTCATGCAGAGTCACGTGGCAGTATTACATGGTACCGTACGCTTTCTACAGCCTTTTGTACTCATTAAATGACACATTTGATGACGTCAACAATTGTATCACATGCTGTTCTTAACGATATTTTGTGTACTTGTTTTTATGTCTCTTGTTAGACTTGTCGTCTAATCAGTCGTTTCCACGTTGTCGTTGTTTACTGTTTTTCTCATATCTCATATTGTTGTAAAAAGAAATGTTTTAACGTGGTCTGGTTGCATGAACCTTCACGGAGTTCGTTTGAAATATCTGTAGACAAAAACCACTGAACGAGTTGTCGAGAACGACCCTGGAGGTTTTAATGCCGCGGTAATAATCACGATAAAATCACACGAAGAAATCAGTTGGTTCAGTCTGCTGATGGTGTTGCAATCACGCCGCACAATCGCCGGCATCCCGTTCTCACTTCGTACTTAGTTAGACATTGTGTCATGCATGTGTCATGCATGTGTCATGCATGTGTCCACTTACACCACCACAGAACAGAGAATGTCAACGCTGCTTCGTCGCCACGCCAACCGACTCCTTATTTCCCGCGCTGTATATTAGTGGATTTTCCCCCTGCTGTGTTCCTTTTGGGGGGAGAATAGTCCTTGTTGCTGGTGGGGTTCGACCCGTGTGACCCGCCGCTCAGCGCGGCCTCAGCGGATGGTTAAACTCTCCTTGGTGCCCCCCCCCCCCCCCCCCCTCCCTCCCCCAGCGTGACGGCAGGTCATCCTTTGATTTATTTCTGCTTTGATATTCAGTTTGAAACATGTTGTCAGCCTCCGCTATCCCCTATCACCCCCCCCCCTCCCACCTCTCTCTGTGGCCCAGTTTTCTGAGGCCGACCAGGGGGGGAGATGCACATTTTCCCTGAAAAGCCCCATCAGAACTGCGAATGACCTGGTTGCATTGTGGGATAAGGAGGCTCAGAGATATTGACGGGTGAGATATCTCGGGTAGTAGAGGTTACTTGGGGGGGGGGGTCCGCCCGCTCTAAGACGACCCATGTTCTGCTGAAACACGCAACTGCAAGAGGAGGAAACCCGTCTGGTTTTAGAGAAACCGTCCTCGCTTTGTGTGTAAAAGATCGAGATGAATGCGTCGCCCGTGTTCATCCCACTGCAACGTGGTCTTTTCTTTTAGAAAAGCTCCTGTATGTTTTTGGGACGTCCTCCGTCACATACGGCGCCTCTATGTAATTCTATCCACATACATGTAGTTTCATATGTATGCAGCTAGTATGTGCTTCTCTTAACATGTTGCGTTTTGTGTGGTTCCTCAGAATTATCGTGTGACTGGAAAGTGTGTTTAAAGATGACGTATCTGTGTCTGTGTGTAGAAGAGCATTCGCTTGAAATGTCGCTTGTAGAAAAATGAACTTCCGGTAACAATGCAGACCCTCTTTATTCACGTATATTTAAGGAGTAAGTATGAACATTAGTATGTAATTACGACACTTTGGGGGACTTATGCAATAAAACCAAAGCAGCAACATGATTAGCAAACCCAACTGGTCCGTCCTCTCTTAGATATCTGAGCTTCAACAAGATAACTGTCCTCATGCCGGGGGTCTTCCAGGACCTGCACAAGCTGGAGTGGTTGTATGTTTATTTTTCACCACAAGATAATGAACATATAAAAAGCTGCATGCATAATATTTCTGTAAATAATAATTTGTCAAACACAAAAGCAAAACTTGACCTAATGTGTATTACGTCTACCCTCTTACTTGTTGTAGGATCCTAGAAAATAACAACATCCAAAAAATATCCCCCCTGACGTTCTCCGGACTGGACTCGCTGGTCTTACTGTGAGTTTCTCTGTGACACTGTTGTGCTTCTATGTGACGCCTGCACGTCGTCACGCTGCCTCTCGCTGATTGACAGGGTCATGATGAACAACTCGTTAGCCAAGCTGGATGACATCTGTCGGGAAATGCCCATTTTGAACTGGCTGTAAGTAGCAAGCCCAAGATATCGAACGCTGACGCCTGGTTTGAACCCTTCTGTTTGATTCTTCCTGTCTGTGCGCGTTTCATAACTTTCAGCGATTTGGAGGCGAATCTAATTGAAACCATTGGAAACGTCTCATTCTGCTCCTGCAGTATGCTGACAGTCCTGTAAGTATTTACAGAACTGAATCCATTTCAACGCGTGTTTGACGTGTGAGCGTATGAACGGAACCAGTGCTCCGTTGTGAATAAGTATGTGATGGCATTGTATGTGTTGCTCTTCTTCAGGGTCTTACAGCAGAACAGGATCAGCCATATACACGAGCAGGCTTTTTCAATCCTACAAAAGCTCGGAGAATTGTGAGTTCATTTTGCTTCCGTTGCACAAAGAAAAGCACTAATATCAGGAGTATGTCTATGAAGAAGCTGACGTGATGCTACTTGAATGTGAGTCATGCTGAGGATGTGCGTCAGCACGGTTAGTGCAGCGTGGAGGGGGAAAAGTTTCGAGGCCTTCGGAGTGACCTAATTCATTCTTTATGTCCGACCTGTGGTCTATGTTTGGAACGTGAACCTTAAGATGCAGTGAGTTCCAACCACTGACGCCCTGAGAAGGTTTCTCAAACGGGTTGGGTTTCCAATAAATGTGCTTCTGTCCACCGACTGAATTCTGCTGGCTGTTAAGTTTGGAGTTGATAATCTTCTCCATTAAATGGTTTTGTTACACTTGTGTAAATTAATAACGCAAATGCTGTGAAATCTGTGGCGGATGCAGGGACGTAAGAAGCACATCTGATCATTTGACAACATTCGACAAAGACAAAACAGTATTTCAGTGTTTCCGACCGTTGTATTCTTTTCTAAGATCAGTGGACATCTGTTGGAAACGCAGCATTAGTGTGTGTTTTTTGTTTTTGTGGTCTCATAGGGATCTATCCAGCAACAGACTGGTGGCTATCCCTCCCAATCTCTTTGTCTTACTCGGGGATTTGCTCCAACTGTGAGTAACGTTTACACAATTCCCCCGTGATGAGCATGAATGTATACGGGCGGTGCTATCCGATTAATAGTTAGCACCGATTTCCCCACCAAGAGTTCCTGAGCAGTCGGATCTTGTGTTTGCATTGATGTATCTACTGTTTGGTAATACATGAGTGACTATTTAGGATAATAACATAAAGCTGTAGGAATCTCAGGAATAGAGATTATTCTAGGAATAATAAGAGGACACATCTTCCAGATGTGCAGAAGAAATGTAATGTAATTCCATGTCATCTAATTGAGGGTTTCTTCTAGAAATATATCATACAACCCCATCGTGGAGCTCCAAGTGAACCACTTTGACAAGTTGCATAAACTCAAGTCATTGTAAGTATATGCTGTCCCACTCCGGCTAATTCAAAGCGCCTGGCGTCGCTTGGTGAATGCATGTGCTTAGGTTCTGTTGGTCAGGCCTGCGTGTATAACGTCTTAAGTTGCTGAGTGAAGTTTGTGCATTTTCCATCAAATAAATAGTAATTATTCTTTGTTTTCAGGGTCACACCATTGGCTGAATGATGGCTCTTTGTTGTCATTTGGATGCATGCGCTCAGATGTACTCAGATGTATCTTTGTTTGTGTTCCCATTCAATCAATATATGTCTTTACATTCTCTAGGAGCATAGAAGGGATTGAGATTGGAAACATACAGCGGAGGATGTTTGAACCCCTCCAGTACTTGACTCATATGTAAGTATGCCATTGTCGTGCTCCATGTTCGTACTGTTAATCCCCGTCTTTGGGTCCCGTTGGCTGGAGGCCTTTTACGTGTATTTCCAGTGTTGAGCACAGAGCGAGGCTTATCCAGACTCTCACGCTTCTGTGGGATGATTGAGTCAAGTTTAGTGTAAATCCGTCTTCTCTCGGGGGGGGGGGGAGCAGCCGTAGAGACACTCGTGCAAGTCCTGGAAAGTGGGCAACAGCGTGGAAGAAATCATCATAAAAGGCTCTCTTATTCTGTCGAATTAAATTCAAGTTCAAGAAAATCTGTTTTGCTCCAGCATTGTTTAAATCACTGTATTTCCTATCGACAAAATGCACATATTTGCTCCGGGGGGCTTTACAATTGGTACAGATGCAACATCCTCTGTCACGAAAAAGTCATGGAACCCATGTGGTGGTTGGGTGGGGGGTTAGGGGGGAGGTGGGGGGGGGTTGGGAGCGAGAAAGCAGTAATACTCTGGGGAAGAAGCGGTGATGCTAATGGGACGTTTAATCACACGGCAGGGGGCAGGAAGAGGGATTCTCAGCAGGAAGAAACAAGGTCCAGATATTACCATCCACGTGGTTTATCTTAATGAGGCGGCAGTCGGTCCAGTCATGCAGGCTATTTGCTTTTGTCTCTGAAATGTTAGCCTCTCGTTCAACACAATGGAAGTTAATGGGAAATCTTTCATGCTCCTCCTTGCAATAAAAAAAAAAAAAAAAACGTATTCATCTTTTCCAAAGGCAGCCTCCCTTTACAGAAACAGCTCTTCTGGTACACTGCGGGTATTCCACCGATGAGGTTGTTGTGGTGCAGGTTTTACATTTCTTAAAACGAGGCCCTGTCGATGGCAACGTCAATCTGTGGGTCAAAAGCTGAAGAGATATTTCCGTCTGAATCAAAGCGTTTTACTCATTTTCATTGTCCCCAGATAATAATCTGTGATGGCCGCGGCGACCTGCAGTTTAACATTAGCGCGTTAGCATGTTGAAATCGTCGTGAGCACCGTGGACGGGAAGAAAGCCACCTGCGCTGAGATCTCAAAGAAACGGGCATATACGTCTTAAAAGAAAAAAGCAATTTCAATCCAAATAAGGTTTTTTGATTGAGTACAGGCCTCAAGCCCCGAGCTATTCACAGTTTGATTAAGAATCAAATCTCCACTCAAAAGCAGCCAGACCTTTCTCTTTTGTTTTCTGTTGCTGTTTCTGGATAAGAGCTCAAAACCGTGGACTTGTACCTACTTCTTACCACTTGCTCTCTGCTCAACTTCACACTCTCTCTGTCTCTGTTTTTTCTCAATCCCAGCTACTTCAAGAAGTTCCAGTACTGCGGCTACGCTCCTCACGTGCGCAGCTGCAAACCCAACACGGACGGCATCTCGTCCTTCGAAGACCTGCTGGCCAACATCGTGCTGAGGGTCTTCGTGTGGGTGGTCTCCGCCACCACCTGCTTCGGCAACGTCTTCGTCATCTGCATGCGCTCGTACGTCCGGTCGGAGAACAAGCTCCACGCCATGTGCATCATTTCCCTCTGCTGTAAGTTTCAAAAAGGGATTCCCTTTCATCCGCGTGTGAGCGTGCACCGCTGGTTATCTCGCAGCCGCTGCTCTGCGTCGCCGGAGCTGATAACGGCGTCCCGACCCCCCGCTTCCTGTGAGGCTGGCTCGCCATCGGAATGCTCCCAATCTTGCACCTTAATAGGCTGCAGTTTCTCATGTGAAAATCATGTAATGCGTTTCCCTTCCACTACTGGACCTGCGTGCTCCCGATTTACATACAGAATGGCTCCCGCAGTGTTATTACGAGTCAAAGGAGGAAATTGAATTCACAACGTTTTTTATTTAAGTGAGTATGCGGTTGAAGGGGATTTAAAGCCGCCAAAGTCACTGAATGGATCAAAACAGGCCTAAAAAGCAGCTGGTGTATATTGACTGAATGGTTATCAGTCCCAAGAGGGAATATCTGTCCACTGCACGAGTAACTGAACAGAGAGAGAAAGCATAGAGGCGGAAAACATATCAGAATTACGTGTCCTGACAACAAATATATGGACGTATCCTGTTCAAAGCAATTACGATCAAAGAATTACAAGTATACAAAGCACTATTTCTGTGTTACAGCCGACATCGGTTTCCTGCTAAATCCGTGCTGACAGCTCAGCAGAGGAGGGCAGTCGTTGTTCGGTATCTGTTCTTGGGGCTCAACTTGCCTAAAACAACAACCTTTATGAAGTGCATTAGGGAACTTTGTGGACTGTTTTCCACGCTGCTCTAATTTCCGGTGGCTGAGATCCAAAACACAGCAGAAGGTAATTAAACACAATCAAAATGTGCGCTCTTCTCTGTAAGCAACAAAGGATGATGTGTCTGTGTGCAAGCATGACGCGTCTGAATGTCGCTTTAATCTAGTTATCAAAGCAACGGACCAAGTGGAGAAAGAAGCCGTAAACAAAGACAACGTTTTGGTTGAGAGCACAGAAGACTAATTTCACACAGTCATCAGTTCTCGTTATTCTCTGCCTCTATTTGTCCATCCATTCATTTTCTGAAAAGTTTATTTTACAACTACAGATGCTAACTTTGTGCCAAGTTAAGTCGGCTTTATTCAGGGATTTTTTTCATTTGAGAGTCTACTGAATGTATGTGTCATAGATATATCATTAAATATCAATTATAAAATGGCTCCACGGCGAGAAAAAACATTAAATGATGAAAGCAATACGTTGGAGTTATTTGACCTCCTTTGATATGTGACCTTTGCATATGAAAGGAATGATTTTCAGGAGGTAATGGATTTACCATTTGAATTATTAGAAGTAAAGGAGGATCAAAGTAAAAGAAAACCACATCTGGTACTCTGATTTATGTACTATTGTTTGGATATTTGTGAGTAGGAGACTCAATGTAGGGCCTCATGGCTTGTGCTAAAACATCTGTGAAGATTTAATGCAAACTGCATATGCATGAAAGCAGAAATGTGCATTTCCATTTGACGTGCTGTACTAAGCGTTACATAAGCTGTATTCCTTGATGGCATGTAATTATGCACATGTAATTACTGCCTAGTCCACATTTATCCATAAATGTCCATATATAATTCTATGTCCACAACTATTATCCAAGGTGTTTTGCTGAGTTACTTGTGTGGTTATACATCATATTTATTCGCATCATCATTTGAGGTGAAGTTCATCCATTTCCTCGGCTGAATCTCATCATCCTCATCCTAAATGTTAATAATGCTCATTTCTATTCATTTTGTTATTTAAGATTTGTTTGAGATTGGTCCAAATACAATAGAGAATAGAATAATTGTAGTTGAATTTGCCTCGTTGCTATATATCTTTGGAGGTGAATATTCGCACAACAATATGTTTCTTTTTATAAATACACAACATATTTGTGTGTGAAGGTGCAGTTGCAATCTCCCCATGCACATCCGTCATGTATGAATCTGACCAGAGTGTATGTTTTACACATAAAAGGCCTTCTAGATTTAATGCATGAGTTTGTCTTTTTTTTTCCTTTGACAACAAAGGCACGATGCTCTCTGCCCACTTTGCTGCTTCCTTCCTGCATTAATCACAACGTATGAAGCTTCAAGTGAGCATCGAGTGGTGTGTCCTCAGTCCCTTTTATTATGCATGGGTTCATGTGGATGAGGTGAGTTCTCTTTGAGGAGCACCGCTGCTTTATGAGAAACTCCGGCTTTTTCCCATTTTGTATTCAAATTTATTCAGCCAACATAGCGCTCTGCCCGATGTGTGTGAATGAACACGTGGCGTTAAAGCGGATGGAATAAGGCTCACACCTCGATGTTAAGTTACACTTACACAGATCTGATTGACACCTCCCAATGACGGCTGTCCTTCCGTGCAGGCGCGGACGGGCTGATGGGAATCTACCTCTTCATGATCGGCGCGTATGATCTGAAGTTCCGCGGCGAGTACAACCAGCACGCTCAGGCCTGGATGGACAGCAGTGAGTGTCAGGTCATCGGCTCCTTGGCCATGCTGTCCACCGAGGTGTCCGTCCTCCTCCTCACTTACCTCACTCTGGAGAAGTACATCTGCATCGTCTACCCTTTCCGCTACTTGACGCCCGGATGGAGACGAACTGTCACCATCCTTTTGGGTATATGGCTGTTCGGCTTCATCATTGCCGTTCTGCCGCTGGCCTGCAAGGGGCTGTTTCGTAACTTCTACGGGACCAATGGAGTTTGCTTCCCGCTGCACTCGGAGCAGCCAGAGACGCTCTGGGCCCACGTTTACTCCATCGTCATTTTCCTGGGTGGGCATTTAGTTCACTGGACTGTTTTCATTTATTGTGAAAGCGCTTTGTAATAAATCCCGTGACAATCCAGGAACTAACCACGCATCTGTCTGCAGGTCTGAACTTGGTGGCGTTCCTCATCATCGTCTTATCCTATGCAAGCATGTTCTATAACATCCAGAGAACGGGGACTCAGACCACTAAATACAGCAACCACATCAAGAAAGAGGTGACCATCGCCAAAAGGTTCTTCTCGATCGTCATCACCGACTCCCTTTGCTGGATCCCCATTTTCATCCTCAAGATCCTGTCTCTGCTGCAGGTGGAGATTCCCGGTACAGTAGAAGCGCTACGACTATTTAGGGAATACTAGATTCCAGGTTTTGACTATGAAGTGCAACGCATCAGCAGGCTCACAATCCGGCTCCGAGAAGTTCGTAGTTTCCCATCGAATTGTTGGTGAAAGGTTTACTTCACGATCGCAAGTACAGTTTTTTAACTCTCAGGCTGCAGGTTTGCTGTTTTTAAAAGCGACTGTATTCCACACGACTCAGGTATTGTTGCCACGTTGGCTAAACTGCGAGTTGTGTTGTGGTGTGGACAGCGGGTCCGGGGGGGGGGGTTAAACGGGGACCCTTCGATGGAGATGAAACCCGCGTTCGCTTCTCGATTGTGTTCTAGTCTGTCACGAAGTGTCCTTCCCCGATTCGTCACGCCGCCGGAAGAAAACAAGCCAAAAAAAGCCTCGATTAGCGACTACCGGTGGTTCATTCAACCCGGAGAAGAGATCCCAGGCGTCGCTGCGTGTGCGAGAGAGATAGAGCGAGACCTGCAGCCTCGGAACTAATTGACGGAAATCATTTTCTAAACGCTGCCGAAGCCGCCGTGAAGAGTGCTGGTGTCCTACTTAGGAATTCTGGCTCTAATATAATGTATTCTTGTCACATATTTAGATACAGCTTTTGCATCTACCAGGATCTTATTTAAGTTGTTCTACATATTTGAAAAAGTTATCCATTGCTCTTAACTAAGACTTATGTTTGGACATTTTAACGCCAACTGTGTGCCTTAGAAATGTTTCCTTTTCTGTTATTCAGTTAGTCTGGCAGAGGAAGTCTCAACCTTTTCTTATTCATGGTTCACTTCTAATTGTAAAAACTAAATGGGACCACCTCCCTAAATAATTGAGAACAAAACGTAACATGGCAAAGAAAAGAAAACTGTATTAAATGTGTGTTAAGTCTGCTCTAATCAGTTACTTTACCCTCATCATTGTCACGTTTATTTGTAAAGCACATTCCAACAACAAGGCAATTCAAGGTGCTTAATATAAAACCATTAAAACACGAGGTGAAAGAAAAGGTCATTTAATAACAATTAGGAACATTGAAAAATTTAAAACAAGCTAAAAAATACAATTACCAGTGCAGTTTAGGAAATAAACAGTATTATATTGCAGACATTAGGAAAAGTCTTTGGACTATTTTTGGTTCCCAGAACAAAGGTTACTTCCTGAACCTCTTTTTAAATCCCCAAACTCAAGGTTTTTAATTCTTCACTCAATTTATTTTAGGTATTTTGTACACCATTTATCAAGGCTGGTGGTGTACGATATGTTCCAAATCGTCTTTCCCCAATATCGATTTCCTGTTAGCAATTCATCTCACGATACAACTAACATATAACTCTTTTTTATAACCATGTCTTTATACACTCTTCTCATTTTTCATTCTATTATGATCTTCAAATTCATCCGACGTTCTGGTGAAATTTGAGTTCGTTAGATACTTTTGGGCAACTCGGGGGTCACGAGATACGACCGCTAGATGGCGCTCTGCCACGCACCAGTGGTTGAGAAGAACTGGTCTAGTGGGGATTCCCACTAAGTTTTGTCAAGTGCTTTTAAAGGGCATTTATTGCTTCATGAAGGGCAAAGCTGCGTACGCTGCGTATGTGTATACATCAACAGGTTTATGTTGTATTCTGCCAACATAAGTTTCACTTCTTCCTCTGTGCTCCTTTTCTTTCTCGGGCAGGCACCATCAGCTCGTGGGTGGTCATATTCATCCTGCCCATCAACAGCGCCCTCAACCCCATCCTTTACACCCTGACCACGCGGCCCTTCAAAGAGACCATTCTGCAGGTGTGGGCTAACTACAGGCAGAAGAGGCCTCTGCTCAGCGGCCACCCAGCTCACCACCCGTCGCTCACCTGGCAGGAAATGTGGCCCCTCCAGGAGAACAGCCTCGGCCTGGCCGCGGGGGGGGCGCCGCCGCCGCCGGACGCGACGGGCACGCTGGCCAGGCGGGGAAACTCCCAACAGTGACATTAGCACAGGCGCGCAGCAGCCTCAGAAGCCGCTCATCGCGTAGCGAGTGTGTGTTCGCAGAAACGACGCCAAGCAAACTCGGAGGCGTGAGGTCAATTCCCAGTCAGTGGATCGGATTAACTGCGATTCAAGTTCATTTATCCCCGAAAGACACAGCGCTTGATTTGTGGCCAGTGTTTAAAAGTCCTCAGTGTTCATTAGAAATCCCGCCGCGTGCACGTCTCGCCACAGCAGCGGCCAAAGCGGCAACGGATGAAGCCGTCGCAGGAATCCCTCATGCGGCGCCGCAGCTCTTGTTTTAACGAAGACTTCGTATCGGCCTCCAAAAGAGCTCCGTCAGCACAAAGCGGGAGCGTTGCCCCGCCCGTGCTTTGGCTTTTGTTCCCCGTATCCTTCAGCGCTCGGTTTCATTTCTCACAGAGGAGTATTTTCTTCTTTATCGAAAGCAGAGTACAACTCCCATTAACCATTTCACAGTAGCTCCGTGTTTAAGACACTTTCAAATATTCTTCTGTTTCACGCCGTACAAATAGTGCTGAAGCACTTCATTAACTGTGGTTTGACCCCAGTAATTATCTTGACGCCTTGCAAAACACCACAGCGATGAGTGATTATGTTCCAAAGAGCAACAGTAAAACGAGTATTTGTAGCTCCTTGTGGCGTCCATGATACGTCTAAATAGCATCAAATTGAAAAGCACCACCACTGGCGCTGCATTGTGGAACCTTGCAGCGCGTTTACTGTAGCTCTCAAAGTCTTGGTGCAGGATCCGCGCTGGGGGGCCTTCAAAGAAAAGTGTGTGGCGAGCAATAACGTGCAGCTAAAGCATTTAAAGCGTCAAGAGTTGAAGAAAAGAAAGAACAGACAAAAACAAGAGTGCTGTGATGTTTCTTTATCTTGTACTATCAGGCCACGGGAGGTTTTACAGAAGAATCTTCTTTTCAAAAGTGCTTTGGCATTTGCGGCGTACATTTCCTGCTGATAGCTTAATCTCGTATTGATCGGAATTCATCCAACCGACTCGCAGCGGAGAACATTTTTACATCCGTCCAATCCCTTAAAGCTTCAGCATTTATCCCGTCTACATTTGGTCTTTAGTGTTTTGTGTGTTGCTTCTTCCACTACAAGTATTTTGTAGAAATATTGAATGTAACGCATGAGACATGTCCAACACGGTAAACAAAGAATGTGCTTAATTTGGGCAGAATAAAACCTCCCAGCTGGTCTGGGACTCAAACAACCAGTACACACCACTACGCGTCTTTTATAATGAGCTGTACAGCACAGATATTTGTACTGGGATCTTAAACTGTACACATACGTTGTTCAATGAACTACTGATTCCTGTGGAAATGTATATTTTTCAGTCATTGTAACTCTGAACGATGTGTGCCATTTGTATTCACATAACGTCCTCACACATGCAGAAAAGACAAGATAAAATCTACAGCCTCGTATTACATGTTGATGGGGAAATATGTTTTAAACATGTTATCCTTTGAATTGTTGTATTGATTTGTGTATTGTCATAATTATTTACAATGGGGTTTTGGGGTATTTGGAAAATAAACATATTTATGCCTCCCATCTGCTTGTTAAATGTATTCATTCTTATATTTTTATTGTCTATTTATTTATCCTACTATTTTGGTCAGTGTTTGTCTCTCAGGTTTATTTTTATATATAAAACAATTGTTTACCATCGTGGAAGAAGTATTCAGGGCATTTCATTCATTAGAAGTAGAGATACCACTTTGTGAAGATGCTGTATTGGTTCTGCATTGAAATCCAAGAAAGTCAAACCCAGAGTTGATCTTTTGCAGGAGAAACAGTTTACTTATTATTTATTATCTTTATACAACAAAATGTCATCTGTTGAAGCAACAGTAATGTTCTCAACATCAAATTAATGATGGAAAGTGATTAATATCTCACTGGAGACAATTAAAATATGGACGTTTATAGATAGTAAGATAGTAATAAAAATTATGAATGAAGGAACATGACGAGGATTTCATATTACTGCCAATGAATCCCCCTAAATATCACACAGTGATCCTTTAAGGGAACAGTAACAATCTGTAAATCCTTTCCCTTAATTAAGTGTAGTATTGTAATAACAAACAAGTCGTATAAGCTCGTGACGTGCGATCTTTCCTGACAGCGGGACTGATCCTGACAGTGACCGAGAAGAACTTTGATAAATGATTCAGTGCGTCGGTACACTGACAGGCCGAGAACGAGAAGCCAAGCACACGGGGACCTGCCAGGAGTGTAAGAGAGGAGAAGGGAAGGGCCCCGAGGTCACCGAGGGCCCTGTTATTATTCCAGGAAACGTACGGCGCGCGCGATGACTTGAAGAAGATTTTTCAATTTATTGCAAAAAGTCTCTGAGAAGTTGACCGTACTTCCCACTTGATTTATTTCCAAAGCAGTTATTGACTTTAACTCTTTCAAAGTGGATTTTCACTGCCGCTCGAGTCCTCACAAAGAAAGTGGGTCACATCGCTCCACTTCTGAGGTCACGGAGAAGCAGCGTTCAGTTCTTCTGCTCCGCACATCTGGGACAAACTGCCAGGAGTTATTTCATAAACTGCGCAGCAACTTTTATTCTATTGTGAGCTTGAATGTGAATCACCGGCAGACAACAAGTAGAACATTTCTGTTTGGTCAGCTTGCAGTTATGTGATGGAGGGCAAACTTTCATGTTATGGAATAAGGCGAGAGAAGTGGTTCTCGCAGCATTTAAAGGGCAAACAATTACACACCTCTAAAATCAAGCGGCACCCATAATCCCGCCTTGCAGTGAACGCAATGAAAATGATCAATTTTCCTCTAAAACCGTCGAGCGGTGCACATTAATGTTAACACATAAAGTGCTGACATGCAGTTTTCTATTGACAGGCTGGCTGCTGTGATTTTTAGCAGTCATCAATCAATATTTTGAGGGGGGCGATGTGGCGGTTGCAGGAGGTTTGCACAGCATTTTCAGCGAGTCTAAAACGAGCGGATACATGGTGTGTTTATGTGACTCATCCTCCCCTGTAAATGTCCTCACTGGTTTGGCAAATTTGGTAAAATATCTCTTGTCCTTAAAGGTGTCCAGATTATATAAAAATTCTTCAAATTAATTTGGTAGTTTGGTTCAAAAATTTAGACAACTACAATAAATACAAAATGTCCATTTTTTTCAACTCAAGAACCAAGAAACAAACCAGACATTTTTATAATTGAAAAACTATGACATTCATTTATTTGTGCTCCAAAGTAAACTGCTGTAAACTCTGACGTCTGAGCAAACTCTTAGAGCCGGCCGGCTATAGTAAAACTGTATCAAACATCAAACATTTTTATATTTTAAATTATTATAATATCCAACTTTTTCCAGGGATGTTCTGTACCACATTTTGTTTGCTCAAAATGTACATGAGAAGCAAAAAAATAGATTTTTCTAGAAGCAACTGTGAGACTTTAATGTATGATTACAACAGCAAAATGTTAATCATGCCAAAACACGTAATAACACAAACAAAGGTCAAATTACTGGGAGGATTAATTGTGGTGTTCTCACAATCATGGCGATGCAGAGTGAAGGTGGTGGTTTTGTCCCCATTGAGTTCTCCTGCGGTCTCTGTAGCCAAAGGATACAGACGGAAAGAGAGAGCAAAGTTAGTAAAAAGGGTTAAACACATTTATATGGGCATGACATTGAACACTTGTTCCAAACTTTCAAAAACTGTCTCTGTTTGTGCATTTTCAATCGCTTTGATGCAAAAGTTGCCTGAGCCCAGGAGAGAGCCTTGAGAGGTGGATGCCTTCTTTATTTACCAATCTCAGAAAAACAGGTTGCTCTGCGACTTGCCTTTTAACAACCTATTAAAGGACTTGGCAGTACACCGGAGATGGACTTTATCGCAAAGCTTCTCATGTTGGAGAAAAATTCTGTTATCGGGCCTTAAATACACAACAGCCCAAATCTCTTTGGTTCTCCATTCCTGTGGACGCAGATTTGACAACAGAGCAATGTGTATCTGTTTTATCACACTAGGGTTATGTCGTTGGGATTATGTCTAATATAATAACTTAACCATTGAGAACGACTTGCTAGTGGAAAGCAGAAAATTACAACGTGGGAAAACACATTAGGGGCAATAAACAAAAAGGCATCTAATTTTGGGTACGGAGAAGTTAGGCTTGATAAATGATTGATAAACTCCCCATTTTGGATTATAAAACTCTCCTGTTTAAAGCGACTAGACTAGACACTTTTATCTATTATTCCAAGTATTCACATCGTCACATGATACGCTTTAAAATCCACACACATTTAACTTCCTTTTTGACCTTTCTATAATGCATCTGCTGCAGGTGATCCCGCTGACCCGAACTTCTTTTGAGAGACATCCTAAGTGTACACTAGAAGATTTGGGTTGCATGAGCATAAACGCCCACTGCACACCCGCTCCGGCAACAGACCGCCTGCGAGACGATGCTAGATCTCCACACGTCACCAGCCCGGATGCACGTTGAGCCCATCCCGCCGCGTTGGTGTAGAGATCTACGCCTGCGCAGTTGCCGCCGCGCGCAGCTCCGCAGCGGATGACGCTCCCGAGGCTCCGTGTTATGAGACGTGTTTCGTAAGGTTCCGCGGCTCAACGTTTGTTTTTCCTGCCGCGGTTACACAAGCTGTCCGCGAGCAGCGACGTAGGGACGCAGGGACTTCACTCTCACGGCCGGAGTCCAGTGAGCGCACGCCGGCTGACACAGAATGTTTCCCGCGAGCAGATACTCGAGTAAAGGTACGTCAGCTAATGGCTAACTTAGCTAGCATATTGCAAGCCGGCTGTAAGGTTACTGAACTTGGGAAAGCTGTTTATCACATCCCTACTGACGGTGTATTCGTCCGACCATTTGTTATCTTTCTTCTTGTACAGCTTGCTCATAAGCAGTTCGACTGTTACCAGCGGCGTCATGAGCAAAACAGTACAGCATGACTTTATATATTAGCATCAAGCTAAAATGTAGGTTAAAGTTCAACCGATATATAGGTGACTTAATCAACGTCCTTGCCCTTGGTCTGCGCTGTAAGATCATTGCACACGTTATGGGAAATATACTTGTGTCGTAACGGTGTAATTATAGTAAAAGTTGAGTAAGTGTTTCGTTTTCTAAGAAGGATAATTATTCGCAGCCTTTCACTTTATATGTAAGTTAGCTTAGCTGTGGTCACACTTCACCCTGCTAGCTAGCATGGTGCTACCTCTGCAACTTATTATGACAGCTGCCTGGCATGGTCACTAGATCACCATACCCTGATAGTGTTATTGTGTTTATAGAGCAATCCATGGTACATTATGCATCATGTAAACACTTGTAATCCCTGTGTTTGTTTGCCATTATTTCCAAAAATGTAATTTGTGATTTGTCGTTTGAGAAGCAGATCCGACTAAATGAAACCAGTGATGGTGGTATCCAGCTGGCGTTGACAGGGAATCTTCTCTCTCCCGTGCAGCACACAGGTGTATCAGGGCATTGCAGACGGTGCAGGTGGAGCATGCTGCCCCTCAGCTGTACGCAACACTAAACACAAGACGGACGTGCTCTTCGGTGTCAACACCCCGCATCACAACACACTACACCGTCCATTCTCGGGATAAAGACTCAAGATGGGAAGGTAAGACACTGCACTGCGAAAAATTACTTTTTAGTTAGAAATGTATGTCAACAATAGGTACCCTTTGAGAGGGCTGATCTTTTGTGTTGCTTGGTCGGCAGTGTGTCACGTCATCAGCATCACAGTCTGTCATGATCCTCTTCACATGCACTGTGGTCTATTTGTCAGTAGTCCTGGTTTAGTACATGCGGGGCATTTTGTACTTACACAGAATAATGGCAGACATGCTTAACAAATTAAAGAATTCACAAAATAAACCCTACATTACACTTTTCCATTGATGACTTCCTGTTGTATTTTGAACCGCTGTATTTTGTCTCATCCAGAGAAAGTCAGTGACAGGGAGGTTTGATTGATACAGAGCAACGTATTTTTCTGTTAACGGTTAAATACAAGTTCAACACTGTAAAAACTTGGAATAAAACAAAAAAAGTGTTATCTGTACTAAAACCAAAAGAATCCTGTCCGTTTTGGTGCATCAAACATGGCTGCAGTTATACTTTTTTAGATTTTGCAATCTGAATCAGAATCTTTCTTTCCTCCTTATGTCCTTCCTCTGGTCCTTTCCCCAGGGGTCGAAATGGAGAGGTTTGCCGACGAGGCGGACGTGGTGATAGTGGGTGGGGGCCCTGCGGGCCTTTCAGCAGCCATTCGCCTGAAGCAGCTCGCCAATGAACACGAGAAGGAGCTGCGAGTGTGCCTGGTGGAGAAGGCCTCTCAGATTGGAGCACACACCCTGTCGGGAGCCTGCCTGGAGCCCAGCGCCCTGACCGAACTCATTCCCGATTGGAAGGAACGAGGGGTGAGCGTCTTATTCTGTGTTTCTTTGTGAGTTTGGTGGGTTGATAAGTATCTACAACGATGGCCTTCCTTTATATCATGACGGATGGTTACATCCGGGCTCCATGTTGTT